CTTGAAGTGTTACTAAGGTAGAGCTTTTCACCCGAAGGTTAATGAGGACGTCGTAATGCAAGCCGATGCTCATTTCCTCTTAGGGTGTACAAGTAAAAATCAGGTTAGTATTGACTTACATGAAACTTCGACCAATCCAGATGAAATGTGTTTATTGACATCAATTTGTGCACTTATGTTTTATTCACATGGAGTGCATGATTCCCATTCGAGCACCCTTATTACATAAACAATTTTTCGTGGTCCAAACTTTACACAGACACACTGGTCAGTACTCCTGAAACAAAACAGTTGTCACATTCTTCCATGACCCCAAAATATGTGTGATTACACCCTACTTCATGACAACTAACCCATTATTCATTTGGAAAAGGTATGGTGCGTAAGGCAATACGACTACAATAACCCCAATCAAGAGCCAATAGGCCTCCAAATTGTAACCCCTGCCCCTCTAGATCTTAACTCACCAAGGACACTCATTCAGCCATAGGATTCGGACCACCCGTAAGGGCCGTACCAATAGGGAGGGCAAAAATGTGTACTTTTGGGGCGAAAATTGTTTTGTGTGTTCTTTTTCTCCCCCAATATTTTTCTCTGAAAAATCAACATGCAATATGCACCCCTGAGTTAGTCCTGAACTTTTAATGAAAAAGTATGCTGCACTCAAAAGATTGCGAGTGCAACCTCCTATAACAGCACGGAGGGAAAAAATGTGTAACTTTTATGTGAGAATTTTTTTGGGCATTCATAATTTGTTTTTGGATCTTCTTAACATTTTATTGGAAAGATCAACACTCAATCGACATCTGTGATGTTTTTCGTATTTTTTTATGGAGAATTCTAGGCGGGAAAAATACCGTCAAATTTAGTGCAATTAGAAGCTTGTAGAAAGCTGCAGAGGCTCTGTGCAGCTGGCAGCATTGAACGACAGGCGACTGTGGTGCGATCGTTATGTTTGGAGACCCTGTGGGCGTCCGCTTCCCCTCCATTACCGTTCTGTTCCATATAGACTGCTCGAGAACGTCTTACAAATATTGCTAAAACCGATTCATTACCATGCTTGCCGCAATTTGTGCTAATACGTGATATTGAGCAAGCCAGAATATCAAAATTTTGGGAGCACATATTCGGCACACCCCTTTTCAATATGTCGGTTCATTACTACCGGCCAAAAAATGGATAGTGGGCCTCGGCCTCAAGTCACATCCGGTGCAAAGGAAAAACTAGTTTGCACCTGATCCGAAGAAAGACCAGGTTCATGCAAGCCTATAACAAAATGACAAAATGTGGTCATCAGGAGCTTAGACTCAGGTATGACCGGTTCGACCTCAGCAAACAAGAAACCCTAGGTGACCCAGCCTGATTTCTCGACTGTACTGTGCTTCATCCTTTTCTTTTTCTTTCCCAACAGAAACTTAGTTGTCCTTCATCCCTGAGAACGGAGTGGGAATATTTTACCGCCGTGAAGTGGGACATCTCGGTACTACTGTCTTCCTCCGACCACACAATGATCATGGCTGTATGCGACGGAAAAATTACTTACATACATTCATGATTAGGGTGCACTGTGTTTGGGGGGAACATGGTAATTATATGACTCAGAACTACGTGCTCTCAAGCCTGCCCCGGAAGCGGGACTGTGCTGAAGTGATGCTTGAGGCAGCAGAGTCAATTATGCACGGGATACCAATAACGAACTGGCTGAACAAAATGATGATCAAAGAACCAAGCCCCCTTCAGTGCAGTGGTTGTACTCAATACGTGTGAATATGATCGCAAAGTAATCAATGCTGGCAGGTACATCCCACAGGCAGTTCCAGATACACTCATGATACACTCCGCAGCAATTGTAAATGGGACACTGGACCCGTTTTCCAGCAGGTGCCGCTCCCCACCAATAGATGGAGCCTCTCCCCAGGTGTTAGTGGTGGCTGCTTATACCAGCATCACTAACACTGGAGGGGGTGTTTAAAAAAAAAAAAAAAAAAAAAAAAAAAACCTGGTCCGATGTACACTACAAGTTAGCATTAACTATGGACCCCCTCAGTGTCATGGACTAACTCAATACTTTACGCAATACTTAGTCAATACTCAGTACTTAATACTTGATCAATACTTACTCAATGTTTTCTCAACATGGTCTTGCTGAATAGTCAATATTTACTCTAGAGATATGAATCCTGTCACAAAAGCGGTCAGGTTCACACTAAACGTGACACCAATGGGGCCTATCTCCCCAAGTAATTGAGCAATGGCTTGGAATCTGTCCAACGGTTCTGCTGATACATACAGCGTCGGAGTGACTGATATCAGCAGATACGTACATGCTGGGGCCGTGTACTTGCGGCTTAAGCCCAAAGGGGTCACAGGAAGGTCATTTTCACCAGAGGGATGGCTCAGAGCCAGGCTCGACTTATGCGATATATGAGTTCATAAAGCATAAATACAGTCGCAGAAATGCCAACGTAAACCACCAGCACGGGGCACGTCCTAACCTTTCAACGGAATACAAGGAGAACACACTTTCAATGTAATGGCCAGCGGCCTGACAAGGGCAGGTTCAATTTGTTTGGGTGCAAAAGCATTAGATTTGGCAATTTAGGGTATGCGTTAAAGCGCCCGTATGGTGGACCCTAAATTGCCGAATGTAAATTCTTGGCACCCGAACAAATCGCAACCAGCCCCTGCCAGGCCGGTACATCTAAAGCGTGGCCTCGGAGTGCTTGTGTTTTCATTAATACAAACACAAACACAAGCACTACCATCTTCACCCGCATACAACCTATGGCCATTATAGCTGTATTTGGGGCAACTTTGAGTCTAGATACAGCGATAATGACCGTACATTGTGTTTGGGTGAAGACGGTAGTGGGGCCTGCCCTGTGACTACGCTACATCTGCGCTTACACTCAGTCTGGGCCTAGCATCGACGAGGGACCAGGCTGTGGTCCCGTCCAAATTGTGGCTGACCAGATTTGGGAATGACACCAAGTTTGGGAAGTATCACTACCACAGGGAGAAATATACCAGGTTCGGAAGGTATTCCGATCAGGGTTGGACCAGGTGTCAGACCAGGTTCGAACCACGTTTGGACCAGGTTTGGTAGGTGTACCCATCAGGACTGGAGCACACCTGGGAGGTATCCCCAGGCCAGGGTTGGACCAGGTTAGGTAGGTATTCCGATCAGGGTTGTACCAGGTTTCAGACCATGTTCGAACCACGTTCAGACCAGGTTCGGACCAGGTTCGGACCAGGTTTGGACCACGTTTGGTAGGTACACCCATCAGGACTGGAGCACACCTGGGAGGTATCCCCAGGATTGGACCAGGTTAGGTAGGTATTCCAATCAGGGTTGGACCAGGTTTGGTAGGTATTCCTATCACGGTTGAACCAGGTTTCATAGGTATTGCTATCAGAACTGGACCAGGGCTGTGAGGTGCCCCAAGTGGGAATGCACCAGGTTTGGGAACTATTCCCGTCAGAACTCAACGAGGTTTAGCGAGGTGTGCCCATCAACACCAGACTGGGTTGGGGAGGTGGGCTGGACAAGGAAAGATAGCTGGTATATGTTCACTATGTGACCAAAAGATAGATTTTATTCTTTCAGTATCAGCCCGGAGAGATGGCACGTATACATTCAGCGTCCAACTGCCAAGACACAAGTGTTTTTTTTTTTTTTTTTTAAAGACAAGACACAAGTGGTTGGTGGCAAGTGTGGTTAAAATAACCTGGGGTTTTCTCTATCTCTTCTCTATACATATAAAGGAAAACGCGGGTCTCGCGTGACGGTCCCACGTGAGAACCGGTCCCCTCGTGAGACTCGGCGTGCGGGTTCCACGGGCGGAGCACCAGCGGTTTGTTGAACCGCGCGACGCTTGGTCGTTCATTTTTTTTTTATTTTTTTTTTTCCGTCTCTCAATCTTGTTTGTATATATATTCCTCCGGCCGTTCAAAATTGGCCGTTCATTCGCGCGACGGCTCGGATGGGGTGCACGGGCAGTGCAGCGGTGTGGTGTTGGCATCGGGACGTGGTTTCCGAGTCCGGGGGTGTGTGCGGACGTGCATGCATCGGCGGGTGTATGTTTCCATGTTCTAGCCGAAGATTCATTGGATGTTGCTCATCCTATCGATGGAAGTAGCATGGCTCGAGCCGCGAGGTCGGAGAGTTATCGTTTCTCT